CCCCCTATTGACAGTGAATTTCCCTCGTCTTTAATTGCCGCGTCCGATGCGCTGAGCGCAAATTATAGGGCTTTAGTAGCGACTAAAAAAGTGTTTGTCGATCARTTTGCTATTGCCGCACATCTTTCGCGAGTGGATCCAGCAACACGGCTTCAATGGGAACAACGGTGTTCCCGAGATGCTTTACCGACGGTAGACGAATTTGTGATATTTCTGTTAGGACTCGAGAGAAATTTCCGCTCAAGGAATTTAATGCGTAACGAGCCGCGGTTAAATTCTCCGCGAAATTGGACGCGAATTTCCGACCAAGGACAAGTTCAAGCGTATTCCACAAGCGCTACTGTCTCGTGTGGCATATGTCGCGAGAGGCATAACACATCGGAGTGTGAGCAGCTACTGAGAGCCGAGCCCAAGGAGCGCAGAAGAATCGTGGTTAACGCCCATTTGTGTTGTAATTGTTTAGAAGATGGTCACCACGTATACACATGTATTAAGAATGACTGCTGCAGAAAGTGCAAGGGCAGGCATCATGAGTTGTTACATGTGAGAGAGGCCGTTGCAGAAGGGGCAACGGTGGGCATCACGAATGGTTGCGTTCGGACTGCGTCGGCGGTGCAGAATGCACATGTAGWGCTCCATCACTCGCAGGCACCCGTGCTGTTACTAACTGCAGTGGTGCCTTTGCTGGATCGCGACGGCAGGCCGCACGAGTGTCGTGTGCTCCTGGATTCGGGTTCCAAAGCACATTTTTTAACGATCCGGTTCGCGAATCTTCTGCGAATAGCCAAACGGGACGTGAATGTACCCATTTCTGGCRTAAACCAAACGGAAACTAGAGTCAAACAGGCAATCTTAGCAACGTTGAAATCGCGAACAGAAAATTACGCGTTAGAATTACAATTCTTATTACTACCCACTGTAACGAATAGGTTGCCTACGCAACGAATTCCGCAAGAAGAATTGACTATACCGGCAGGGATCCAATTGGCAGATCCCAAGTTTTATGAGCCCGCGAATATCGACGCGATTCTCAGTGTAAGGGTTTTTGCTTCACTATAGCGCGCAGGTCAGAGCATTAGGTTGAATGAAAATTTAATGGCACAAGGAACTGTACTAGGATNAATATGGGTGAAGAAAAAATATGTATGAAAAACTGAGTAAAATCTAATTGAATCTAATATGCTCTTCTTATCTTTAATATACGAAAAACGTCTTTAAAAAAAAAACATAAAAATAATGTAGGATTTTTAATGACAAAAACAGTTTTATTTTAATCTCTATTACAAAACGCAGAACCTGTTTCTATCATTGCTCAACACTCACTCTCCTTTATCGGTCGTGCATTCATTCGTCGCATCCACAACGTCCTTTATTTCGTTCGTTGTATTCTGTTACTTAAAATCGAACAAATGCCTATCGTCTTATGCTAACAAACCAGCGTCTTTGTCGGCAGATCTAAAAGATAAGACGGCTACGCTTACCGACTCCTACAATATATTTTAATAATATTCTTTTCGATGAGAATATCTCCCTCCACAGTCAGCACAGTACAGAAACGTTTAAACAAATTTATATTATTTAAACAATTAGATGAAATTTAAAAAAAGGAAAATCATAACGTTATAATCCTAATTTCTATTAATGACAATTAATATTTTCGTTATGCAAACATGCGCAATTTTCAGAAAGCCATATAAACAACTTTCGATAGAAAAAACTTGTTTATGTAACAAGGTATAAGTCTAATAGAAGATTTCAAAGAGAAAAGAACATCAAAAGCAAAATCCGTTCCTTTGGATTACAATATACATTTTTATCGATTAATTAACAATTATTTTAATAATCTAATAAACTCTTTTTATATTTCAGACTGTTTAAACATATATGTACTAGTGTAAACATTACGTACTTATTAACATACATTACATATGAAATAATTTCGATATGATATTATTTTGGGGTGAAAATTTGCCCCTCCAAAGCCACCACTATGCAGGAACGATACAAAAAATGTACATTAGTTTAAACTATTACATAAAAATGTAAAAATGGAAAAATAAGAGCGTTGAAATCTTAAATTTAATTAATTACATAAATTATTCCCTTTACACACATGCGCAACGTTCGAAAAGTCGTATAAACAACTTTCAATAAAAGTATTTTCATAGAAGAGAAAGTGCCAGTCTGAAGGTGCATTTCGAGGAAGACGGGTCACAGAACATATATACTCTTATCTTTTTAACAAAAATATACATTTTTATTGATTATATAACTATTCTTTTATTTCTCTATTACACTCTTTTTATATTTCAGTGTTTTTTAACACGTATGTAATGGTTTAAATATTACATGCCTATTAACGTTCTATAAATAGAACATATAATTTTAATATATTTTTATTTTATGTTTCTTTAGATGACTTTTTTAAACTTAATTTCTTTACTGAGCCAATACATTAACATTAATTTTACCGATAACTTATATTGTTTTTTTAATAAATTTTCTTTCAGACTTCGACATGTAAACGTCGAAGAGTGGTAGTCGCGAATGAGTGAAATTTTTAGGGTGAAGACGTAGAGTGATGTTCTTTAAAAAACATTCTTGATTAGATTATCTTATATCTTTTCAATTTAATTCGGATGTGGACATCTTCAGGATGCACATTCCTCGTGGGTCTTCAGAAGCGGTTACCTCCTCGTGGTTAGACCCGGGCAATGGATATTACTTGTTTGGATATACAATGTTTATCATATTTTTATATGCTATACATTACATTACAAGTAAAATCTAGCAAAAGACCGCTTACCATAAACATTATAATGATAATTAGTTTCTTTCATTTTCCTAATCAATATCATATTATAATTCATTTCATTGTATTTCCTTTAATACTACTTTCATATTTTATTCCACATTAAAATACTCGATTTATTTTATTAATGTGAACACTAATATTGTGCATTATTTCAGTCGTTTTTGATGTGCAGTGCGGTCGGTAAGCACGTCTCGGCCGCGTTCGCGTTCGTGGTCGCGATAAATAACTTTTWTATAGWTTTTTRTTTTCGTTATCGTCTACTGGTCATCGTCATCTTAAGGGTAGGAAACCCATCGGGCATTCATCACTGAAGACAAAAGGTAAATTAATTATTTCATTAAAAATTTCTTTAATAATTTCTCATAATTTTTAAACGATACCAATGATTTTAATCGTTTTATTCTTTTCTCTCTTTTCAGAAGGGTATGCATGTGTTAGTGTTTGATATTTTAACTGCGCGCAATGCAGTTGTTAAAATTAGAGTCAGTGTTTGTACGAATAATTAAAATCTAATTTTTATCGCGAAGAAGAGTCATTGTTTGTACGAATAATTATAAAATCAAATTTTTAACGCGGAGTAGAGTCAGTATTTGTACGAATAATTAAAGTGAAACTTAATCGCGAAGTAGAGTCAGTACATTCGGTCATCGTCATCGTAAGGGTAGGAGACCCATTGGGCATTCATCAATGAAGTAAGTATATTTTTCTATCAAACATTTGGAGAATAATTTTAATGGTTTCATATTGTGACAAAGATATTAGTCGTTCTTTTCCTTTTTCTGTTTCAGAACATCATTGCAATTCGTGCGCGAAGCAATGTAACGGGAGTGTTTGTTCGTTTTTTAATATAATTAAAATCACGGATTAAAAGCACGCTCGTTCRTTACTTTAAATTCGGTCGCGTATCGCGTTTCGCGTATGTGTTCGTTAATAACGTATTAATGGTGGGCCCAACTATACAGGAGGATCTATTCGCACTTTTAGTAAGATTTAAATCACGTGCTATTGCTATTACCGTGGACATCGCGAAGATGTATCGGCAGATAATAATTGATCTGCGCGATCGCAAATATCAAACTATACTGTGGCGTCGACAGGAAAGTGAGCCCGTGAAAGC